AAAAAATAATCGTCCAATTCATCGATTTTTAAAATAATCGTTAGTTGCAGCCCTAGAGAAATAAGTTCCCTGTTCTGTTTGATGTGGCTCTAATGAAAACCTGGATCAAAGGGATCCTACTTATTTGGACCTGGATTTAAATTCAAAGTTGTTAAATAAACAGTTTTACCAGATCTGCGTTCTCAATGCTGGAGGCACTCAGGTCATCTTCCCCTACTATGTACATCACAGGACAATCAAGCTTCTCCAACTGCAAAGGCAGAAGAAAAACAAAACATCAATTTAAAGGAAAAACACAAAAACAAATGATTGAGATTGATGTTACTATATACAGGTACATGTCAAATTATTGGAATATTGCCTTAAACATAAGATATCTTTTTGCAAGTCCTTTAAGATAACAATGTGGATATTTAAAAGAGATTAATAACACTTCATTGTTTTAATTATTTCAAGCTTTTATTTGCTGCAGTTCCTGTTGTGGACTTGCCGCCATAATCCCTGTAGAAAGTCTATGGGCTTTAGTCAAGAGGAAGACCAGAGACGACAGACACAAGAAGGCAGATGACCTGAGGAATTAGCCTTGATGTAAACCACCCGTGATTCAAAGCACCAACGACCACATGTTCTTCTTTGACCGATACCGAGTCAATAAACATTCTCGCCTCCCTCCAGAGTGGTTCCATTACCTGAACAATGCTGTCAGGAGGAAGATTAGCAGGCAAGGAGACTTCTTTGAAAATGACCCGGCCCTCGTCATCAAAGTTCCAATAGTTCTGGAAACTAAAAACAAACAAACAAACAAAAAAAAAAGGTCAAACCAGCAGTTAAAACTGATTTTTTTTTTTTACTTATCTGTAATTTACAACCAAAGTGTTTTTGTTCCAGTTAAATGTGGTCAGTTGAAACAATCCAAACATCATCAGGCGCAAAAAAAATGAACAAACTCAATTTGATTAAACCTGTACTATAAACTGACTGATTATATACGAACAAGGTTTATACAGGAATAAGGAACTCTAATTTAATACTTTGTAAAGCTCTTTTAAAGCTCTTAGAAATAATTTAAATGCCATCAACAAGTACCCATGACTCTCATATGTATATATGTGTGTATATATATATATATATATATATATATATATAAAAACACGGCAAAATCCTTTGTCATCTTTACTGTCAGAAGGATGCAGCCATGTTCCAAATTCCTTGTTTTCCAACCAGATGGGAAAAAAAAAATAGTCCCATTCTGTAGCTTTTTCTTTGCCTTGATCTTCTTTTTCGAACATACGGCTTTACGATCAACTGGAAGCAGTTCTGCAGCAAACACGCAGAACCATTTATATCTCATATAATATATCTGACAAGATTGTTTTTATTGTTTTAAAATTTTTAATTTTTATTAAAGCATTTAAATGCCACGATAGTCACATTTAATGAATTTTAATGACTTTTAATTTGAAAAATAATAATTTAATGACTTTTACTGATTTTTCATGACTTGCGGAAACCCTGACGAGTTAAGGTTTTCTAACTCTTAGTGACCTGTCTTGTTAAGTTACAACTGTATACAATATCTAACACCAATATCAGTCATTGGAGCTAGAAGTGAGTACATCTGGACAGTAGGTGGAGCTACTAAGTAATACAGTAGCTTTCCTGATAACAGTGGAAGGTTGCTACTATTATGCTGCTATAGTCTTAGACTACTGGAAGACATGGGGACCCCTTTTTCACCCTTCTGCTTTATTCTATCTCTATTCTCCCATTCTGCAGTATTTTTTAGTTCAATCTCTAACGTTCTGCTCTCTCTGCTTTTCCTCATAGTAGCTTCATCTGTTCTGTTCCTGCTTGTCTGTGACTCCATCCTGGAGAGAAATATCAGCTGTGCTGCTGCCATCAACACCTTTGTTTATAGATGTTGGAGCTTGGCCTGTTTTTCAGTGTAGTCCTGTTTCTCTGACTGTGACTAACTGTATGACGTACTGTATGACTTGACCGCATGTGGAGCTGGTAAAACACTTGCCTTTTGTATCTCTGCTTCTTTTTCTATGTCAGCTTCTGTCTACCTGAACCCCGATGGCCGCTCACACCTAGTCTGGTTCTGCTGGAGGTTCTTCCTGTTAAAAGGGAGTTTTCCTCCTCACTGTTGCTACAAGCATGTTTGATGTGAGGGATTGCTGAAGAATCAAAGAGTCGATGCAATCAACTTGTTTTCCTTAGATAGAAAACTTTGAACCAATCTGACTGTATGATCTGGTTAAATTGTCTCTGTAAAGTGACTTGAGATGATGTGTTTGGCGCTATATAAATAAACTGAATTGAATTGTTATAATGCATTGACTGAAAGAAGCTGGATCTAAATGCACTCCCCACTTCTCAGATGTATTTTCTTGTACTTCAAACACTGCTCACAACTTTTTATTAAACTGCCACATAACGATTGTATAAAATACATGATAAAAGTTTACCTGCTATTTGGGATAACATTAAATTAAAGGATGTTATAAACAGGCATATAAACAGTACAGATTAGTAGAAAAGAGATCAGAAGGATCAAATACAGCATTTTTTTATTGTCCCTTGAAGAGAAGATATGCAACTTATTTCAAGTTGTCTTTTTTTCTAAAACAGTTCATCATTATCAACTAAATGATTATTTACCTATCGAACTGCTCAGTCATGCCGTCTGAATCTGTGACCGACCACGTGCTCCCCACAGGTCCATTGATACAAACCAAACAAGATGGCTACAGGGAGACACAAAACCACAGCAATATGATCAATTTAAAGATTTCCCATCACTGGGAGGCAGAATCAGTATTCTAGATGACAAAATGGGTTTAAAATAGGCATGAGCTTTGAGACCAACCTTTACTCCTGGTATGGTAGCGATGCGAAGCGCCAAGTAACTTCCGAAGGAGAGGCCGATAATCCCGACTCTGTCAGAGACCACCTGAGGGTGATCTTGGAGCAGTTGGAAGGCGGCCTGTCAGATGATGATGGAAGGGGTTACATGTGTAAATAAAACACTTTCCACTTCGATCGGGATAACTACAGATTCATCTTTTATTACTGAAGGAAAATCATTTTAAAAATAGTGGATCATTCTGTAGGGCTGAGGACGGGAAAGCCAAGGTTTAGAAATTATTATCTCCACTAACAATTCCAAAAAATTTAATGAAAGCAAAAAAAAAAAGGACTGTATTTATTATACTACACACTGATACAGAAATAGAGAGTGATCCTTTTGGAGCAAGGTAACTATTAATACAAATAAATGGATATCTAACCTGCTAAAAGAAAGAGAAATAAAAGTTCAATTTGTGTTTGTTCCTTGTTGCAAACTCATATGTCATCAGATCTTTCGTGTGTTAAAATGTAAAATGTCAAAACTAAACTTTGCAAAAAGACTAGTGTATATAATTTATGTATGAATACAAATCAAAAACTTCTAAGTGAAGACAACAAATATGAGTGAAAATCCCAAATTCCCAATTAAAGAAATCAGATTTCTTGATAGAAATCACAAATTTAAGAGTAAGAGTTTAAAATTTACATTTAAAGGAATAGTACAGGAAGAGGAAGAGCATGAGTTCTTTGCCGAGCTGAATGCGCACTTTCGTCTGGTTTGGTCTGCCGCGGTTTC